CAACCAACCCGCTTCCACAACACCTTGCCTCAGTGCTATAACAACACTGCAAAATCTTCTCCCTTCTTTTCATCACAACCAAACTCCCAAAGAAGTATTGGAACCCTCATTCCTCACACTGCACAATTTTCCTGCGAACGAGCCCATTCCTAACATCACCAAAAGAAAAAACCCAACTTCGCATTAACTTTCCTACTGTTCTCTAGAGTCATCCCATGTTACATGCCCAGTTGGGCAATGTATGTATAGCCAAGGATCCGCAATGTGATAAAAAGGACTGAATGGACAATGCGGTGTTAGTGGAATCTCAACAAGCAATGTACATCCTGATACATACAAAATGGCACCTTGTAGCGCAGTGGAAGACTTAGATATAAGCCCCGACCTGACCAGGACTGACCTCTCTCACGTAGTACAAGACGGCGCAGCGGAATGCTAGAATACCAATAACTAGTCCAATCAATGTCGCAATGCAGACCAAACATACATCATCCTCATCACAAGGTGTAAAGGGGCCTGGCGCTACACACAGGAAGAATGTGCCAGGTCCAGACAATACACAGGCGAAGAGGAGGGGATCAGACGAAGAAGAGGGGAAAGATGGGAATGTCGTCAACACCAAGTCTTCGGTACAAGTCCCAGATAATCCCTCGTCAAATGTCTGAAGCCCAATGTCGAGTCTGGATCCAAATGTCACCAATCTCTCTCTCTCTCTCTCTCTCTCTCTCTCTCTCTCATGTGCCAGGTACTAACCTGTGAAGATGGCGCTGTGCTGCAGGTACCTCGGCGACGAACTGGAGCTATGGCGCTGCAGGTAAGTCCCCCTGGCCTCCGCCCGATCTATCTCTATCCCCAATACTACTCTAGCTCCCAATAGCGCCCAGCGCTGAAGACTACTGCTAACGCTACTACTACTACTACAGCGCTCCTCCAGAGTGCTGCTGCCGAATCCTGAAGACTACCTCCTGCCTCCTGAACTGCACGTGAAGTGCCTGGGAAGTCCCTATGAACTCCCTGCAGCCTGCAAGGCGGGCCAGTCTTATATAGCTCTGGCCCGTCCAGGAGGCTGCTCTTGCCAATGCCAAAATGTGCCAGACCCTGGCGTTGAAGCTCAAGCAAAGGTTGTCTTGAAAACAGGCCCAAAATGGCCTGTGCTAAAACCCTGGTCTGGTGCCTAAGTTTCAGGGCAGGTCGATCTTATGAGTGCCTGAAAATGGCCCTCCGTTTCAGGCTGAAAAGACTCAGGGCCTGGAGGGCCCTGTTTTAGGCTGAAACGACACGGGGCCTGTAGGGCCTTGTTTTCAGGCTTTTAGGCTGAAAACGACACAGGGCCTGTAGGCCCTTGTTTTCAGGCTTTTAGGCTGCAAACCACACAGGGCCTGAAAATGGCCCTCGTTTCAGGCGCAGCATGTTGCAGGTGCTTCATGTAACACCCCCTCCCTCCTTATGAAGTCAAGCCGGGTCAAGGCCGAAGCTGACGATCTGAAGGTGGAACCTGGACGCGGGTGCGATGTGGAGCTGAAGATACCGGTTTGCCTTGCATCTTGCGTTCGAGAACATCTGGAGCTGTTGCTTGGAGTTCCGCACGAGTCAACCAATGGTCAGCTTTGTGGGTGCAGTACGCAAAGTGTACCAAGTATTCGGTCGGCCTGTTGCTGTAGCGTCGTTGGGAGATGATGTCGACGACCTCTTGAAAACCATCCATAGAGGGTGGGTCTTGCGATCGTCACCCGGGAAAATCATCATGTTCCGCTGGCGTGTAAAGAGCCAACTTGGAGCAATGACAGGACGGGCAAGTGGGCGGGCACCTGAATGGTGAAGGAAGGTCCTTCGGGTGCATCCCCAGCGGGTGCCACGATCGACCAGGGCCCCATCCATTTCGAGAGGAGCTTGCGAGAGAGATCTTGTTCGAGGCTGAACTCCGCGACGAACCCAAACGAGATCGCCGATGCGGAATGGACACGGAAGACGCTGGCAATTGGCCTGTTGGCTCATGCGTTGCTGCGTCTTAGCCATCTGGTCGCGTGCCTTGACAAGTAGCTCTTGCATCCGACGCAAGAAAAAAAGATGGTAGTCGCTCTCGACTGTTCGTGGAATGATTGTGTCCAAGGGAGAAGTGACCGGCGAGCCGTGTTCGAACTCGAAGGGCAACATCCCGATAGCCGGGTGGACGGACGAGTTGTATGCCAACTCGACATCCGGCAGCCGCTCAACCCAATCCTTTTGGTCGGGACGGATGAGAGTGGGATGGAGAACCTGTGCGGTCTGATGCGCCCTCTCCGTTTGGCCATCGGTTTGGGGATGGCAAGCCGAACTTGACTTGAGAGATGAGCCCCATCGTTTGATGAGCGCCAACC